TTTTTTTTTTTTTTTTTTTTTTTTTTTTTTTTTTTTTTTTTTTTTTTTTTTTTTTTTTTTTTTTCTGTTTCCTCTTTTTTTCTCCTCGTGTCTTATCCTTCCTTCTATTGTCTACTTTACTTATTTTATCTCCTTTCTTTTGTCTCCTTTTTCCTCCGCTTTTTGTTTTTTTTTTTTTTTTGTCTTTTTGCTTTTCTTGTCTGTCTATTCTGTCGCTTATTTCTTTTTTGTCCCTTTTTTCTCTTTTGTCTCCCTTTATTACTATTATTAACTAAATAATATAAGATTGTCCCTATTGACTCCCCGATTGTCCCTCCAGTATCAGCAGCAACAGCAACAGCAGCTGCAACAGCAACAGCAACAGCAGCTGCAACAGCAACAGTAGCAGCAACAGCAACAGTAGCAACAGCAACAGCAGCAGCAAAAGCAGCAGCAACAGTAGCAGCAGAAACAGCAGCAGCAACAGCAGCAAATACAAGCAGCAGCATATATTCTTGCAGCTGCAGTAACAACAATAAACTTTTTTTTATCTTATTTAATATTTAACAACAAAAAGACTTCAATTTATCCCTCTATAGAAAGGGGGGCCCCTTGCAAACCCTCAGGGGGCCCCCATCTAACCCTCTGGGGGCCCCCCTAGTCAAGTTCTGGGGGGCCCCCAGACAAACCCTGTGGGGGGGCCCCCTCAGACCCTGTAGGGGCCCCCCTCAAACCCTCGGAGGCCCCCAGCAACGAATCAGAAGCCAAAAAGGCTTCTTATGCTGCTGGGCCCCTATCTATGCCTCACTAAAATGTCCTGCTGCTGCTGCTGCTGCTGCTGCTGTTGGTGCTGCTGCTGCTGCAACTTCTATTGCTGTCTGCTGCATGTCGGTTCGCTGGACTGACAAAATAACGACGGAGGAGCGCCTGCACCCCATTGGGTCTTCTGCCTGCTGCTCCTGGCTTCTGCTGCTGCTGCTGCTGTTGCTGTTGCTGCTGCTGCTGCGGCAAGCTCACTGCAGCACTGCCGCTTGGGCCTACCATTGCAACGACGTCCGAATGCCCACCAGCGGGAGAAGAAGGATCTGCCTCTCCTCCTTGATGCTGCTGCTGCTGCTGCTGCCAGTCCCCCGGCTGCCCAATAGGGGTACCCAGGATCCTTCTGCTAGCAGCAATACTGCTGCTCCTATCGCTGCTGCTGCTGCTGCTGCTGCTGCTTCTGCTATTGATGGTTCTGGCGTTCCGCCTCCGACTGATTCTTGGGGAGACTTCCGTACAGCTATCGCTGTCGCTGCTGCTGCTCTCGCTGCTGCTGCTCGCGCTGCTAGGCCCATTGCTGATGCTGCAGCTGCTGCCGCTGCTGCTGCCGCTGCTGCTGCTGTGAACAATAAAGTCATGCAGATCAGAGGAGTCGTCGCTGCTGCTCTCCTCCCCACTAGAGCAGCTGGGGCCTCTACGGGCAGCAGGACGACGCCGCGCAGCAAGAACCGGCACTCTTCTTCTGCCGCTGCTGCTACTGCTGCTACTGCTGCTACTGCTGCTGCTGCTATTGCTGCTGTTGCTGCTGCTCCTCCTCCTGCGACCGGGTCTCTGAAGACGTCCGACCCCATTCGGCCGTCCGTTGCCGTTGTGAGCGAAAGTATCGAAATCAACGCATGCGCTGCTGCTGCTGCTGCTGCTACTGCTGCTGCTGCTGCTGCTGCCATTGACGTTACCTGCTACAGCAGCAGCAGGTGTAGTAGTTTCGCTGGTTGTCCTTTTAATCCTTTTCCTAGGTCTGCCCCCACGTTGTGGTCCTTGTGCTGCTGTTGTTGTTGCTGCTGCTGCTGCAGTGCTGCTGCTGTTCCTGCTGCTACGTCTCCGTCGTGTACCTTGTCCCGTTGCATTTCTTTGTTGTTGTCTTTGTTGTCTTCTTTGTCTCCTTTGTCGTGTCTGCTGCCTCTGCTGCCTCTGCTGCCTCCCTCTGCGCCGCTGTTGCTGTTGGTGTTGCTGTTGCTGCTGTTGCTGCAGTTGCTGTAGAGATTGCTGCTCGTGCTGCTGTATAATTCTCCTTTGTAGGCTACAGTTGCTGCAGCACCATTCACCATCAGGTACAGCAGCAAGAGGAGGAGACAGACAATATATATGATAGGCACTATCGCATGCATCGCACAGCAGCAGACGACTCCAATCATCATCACGACCACAAACTTCGCACCCCCCAAACGATCCCGATCCCAACGATCCCAACGATCCCAACGATCCCGATCCCATCGATCCCCGACGACGCTCAGCAGGAGGAGGTAATGGTACCTCCTCTACTAGCTGTAGACCTATTAAACATGCTGCTGCTGGTGCTGCTGTTGCGGTGCTGCTGCTGCTGCTGCTGTCTTGCTGCTTCACCTGCGACAGTTGTGAGGACACACCTGGTACAGGCACACTGGTGGATGGCTGCTGCTGCTGCTGCTGCTGCTGCTCCTGGTGTTGCTGCTGCTGCTGCTGCTGCTGTTCAGTCTTAACAGAAGCACTGTTGGCTTCAGCTTTAGCAGCAGCAGCCTTCTGGCTAGCAGCAACTGCTGCTGCTGCTATTGCTGCTGCTGCTGCACTAACTCGTCGACGAACGATAGTAGTAAAGGCGGTAGAACAAAGAGGACATCTGCTGCTAATGGAAGCCCACCTGCAGCAGCAGCAGCAGCAACAGCAGCAACAGCAGCAACAGCAGCAACAGCACGACAGTACATGAGTATAAACGTGCAAGACGTTTGCAGCAAACCTGCAGCAACACCACCTATTCACCTGCTAACGCAACAGCAGCAACAACAGCAACAGCAGCAGCAGCAGCAGCAGCAGACTGACTTGTATAGACAGGCGAAGCAGAAGAGATGGCAGCAAGTAGGTAAGGAAGCAATCTCTTGCTGCTGCAGCAGCAGCTCCGAGCAGATAACACAAATCTCTTCTCTTAGATCAACACGCAGCACAGCAGCAGCAGCAGATCCCCACCCTGCACGTTTCCTGCTGCTGCTGCTGCTATTGTTGCCGCTGCTGCGTCTGCGAAGACCTCCAACGCCTCCTTGTGTATGCGCTGCAGAAGCAGCAGGAACAGCAGCAGCAGCAGCAGTAGAAGCAGCTGCTGTTGTGCAGTCTGCTGCAGCCGAGCCTGCTGCAGCAGATCCTGCTGCAGTAGATCCTGCTGCAGTAGATTCTGCTGCAGCAGAGTTGCCGTTGCTGCTGCTGTACGCCAAATCCTGCAGCACACTCATAAGCATCATTAGCAGCAGCATTAGCAGCAGGAGCAGCAACAACAGCAACAGTAGTAGTAGCAGCAACAGTCACAGCAGCAACAACAACAACAGCAACAGCAACAACAGCAGCAGCAACAGCAGCAGCAGCACCTCTGCGCTTGCTGCTTCGAGTAGGTCCATTATGTCTTCTCCCCACTCCACCCGCAGCCACGAATAATCCTGTTCACCTTGCTGCTGCTGCTGCTGCTGCTGCTGCTGTACCTGCTGCTGCTGCTGCTGCTGCTGCTGTTGTACCTGTTGCTGCGGCTGCTGTGCCTGCTGGTGGTGCTGCTGCTGTAACGGCTGTTGCTGTAGCTGCTGCTGCTGGTGTAGCTGCTGCTGCTGTAGCTGTTGCTGCTGCTGGCCCCAAGCATTATTTGGACGCATCTGATGAGCGAGGTGCTGCTGCTGGTGCTGCTGCTGGTGCTGCTGCTGGTGCTGCTGCTGGTGCTGCTGCTGGTGCTGCTGCTGCAAATGTTGCATATGGGGTTGCTGCAACGGCAGCACGCCCCGTTGTTGCTGTTGTTGCTGATGCTGCAGTTGCTGCTGCTGCTGCAGCGCCGTAGCTGCGCTGTCTGCTGAGAGCCTCTGTGGCGTCGCTGGGGCCCGCGGGGTCAAGTGCTGCGGCTGCTGCACTCGCTGCTGCTGCTGCTGCTGCTGCTGCTGCTGTCCTTGGTTCTGCCAATTTAGAAACTGCTGCTGCTGGTAGCCGCGATAAGCCTGCTGCTGCTGCTGTTGTTGCTGCTGTTGCTGCTGCTGTTGCTGCTGCTGTCGCCTGTGAGGTACAGGTGGCGTGGAGGGGTCCTTACAAAGCAGCGTCGAGCCGATGATGCTGCTGCTGTTGTTGCTGCTGCTGTTGCTGCTGCTGCTGTTGCTGCTGCTGCTGCCGTTGTTGCTGCTATTGTAGTTGCTGCCGCCGGTGCTGTTGCTGTTGCTGTTGTAGCTGGTGCTGCTGCTGCTGCTGCTGAAGTGCCCACTGTAAGTGTGCCAAACTCTCTGAGGTCTCGCCCACTGCTGCTGCATGCATGTCGGTCGCTGCTGCTGCTGCTGCGGTTGCTGCTGCCATGAACGAGGTAGCTGCTGCTGCAGCCGCAGCGGGCTGCTCTGTCCCTGCTGCTGCAGCAGTTGTTGTTGTTGCTGCTGCTGCTGCCGCAGCGGGCTGCTCTGTCCCTGCTGCTGCTGCTGCTGCTGCAGTTGCTGCTGCGGTGCCTTCTGCTGCTGTAGAGGTGGCTTCTGCATCTGCTGCACCGGTAGGCACATGGGGCTGCTGTATCGCTGCTGCAGCTGCTGCTGCTGTTGCTGCCGCTGCTGCTGCTGGACATTGACACTGGAAGTTGCAGCACTACTGCCGCTGCTGCTCATTGGAGCCCCCCAATATCTACTGGTGGTGGTGGTGCTGCTGCTGCTGTTGCTGTTGCTGCTGTTGCTGCTGCTGGTGCTGCTGCTGCTGTGGTGACGCACGACAGCATCCAACAAGGAAAGCGGCGGGTCACGGGCTCTCGCTGACGAAGAAGACACGGATTGCTGCTGCTGCTGCTGCTGCTGCTGCTGCTGCTGCTGTGGTCGCTGCTGTTGCTGCTGCATGTAGGGAAAAGACGCACGGAGAGGGCTAGTGCCTGCATGAGGTGAATAGATCTGCTGCTGCTGTCGCTGCTGCTGCTGCTGCTGCTGAGCTACCTCCTTAGGGAGGAGCCCCATGGCAGCAGCAGCATCCGCGCAGCGCACACTCCGTGGTGTCCCTGCTTCTCTGCTGCTGCTGCTGCTGCTGGTGCAGGCAGCAGCTAGGCTCCCCCCCATCGGGGAGGCAGGCTGCAGCTGCTGCTGCTGCTGCAGCTTCGCGCACTGCTGCATCGGCGCTCCTGTAGAGTGTCATGGGCTGCTGCTGCTGCTGCTGCTGCTGTATTTGCTGCTGCCGCTGGATTTCCAATGCGGTAGCCGCAGGCATGCGTTGGAGCAGCAGCAGCAGCAGCAAGTTTCTTCTTGCTGCTGCGCCTTTCTGCTGCAGGATCGCAGCCCCAGCAGCGCCATCGGACTTGTTGCTGCTGTTGCTGCGGTTGCGGCTGCTGCGAGTGCTGCTGCTCTCCCTGCTCTTGCTGCTGCTGCAGCAGCAGCGGTTACAGGGGTTTAGGCTCTGTGTGGTATTGTTGCAGCATGGCTGCTGCTGCGCTGCTGCTGCGCTACTGCTGCCGACTCGATGACTAGTTGCAACTTGTGCAGCAGCAGCAGCAGCAGCAACAGCAGCAGCAGGGTATCAATTAAAAGGCAACACCAACTCTAGATCAGTGCTTCTTTGCTGCAAATAGCTGCTGCAGTGAGTGGCTCCTTCCTACGAAGCTGCTGCAGCAGCAAGAAACAGCAGCAAATGCAGCAACTTCAGGTGTATAGGCAGCTGTCCTTGCTGCTGCTGCTGCACAAGAGAAGCAAGAAGACAAAGACCACAGACACTGCATGCAATATATGTGCAGCCTTCGTTTAACCACCTTGGGGGGTACTGGGGTTGTGTTGCTGCAGCAGGAGCAGCAGCAGCAGCAGCAGCAGCAGCGGCAGCAGTAGGGCTGCTGCATGCATGCAGAGGCGGCAGCGCACAAGATCAACTGTAAAGGCAACAGAAGTAATTTAATCTTTGTTTTATTTGTGCTATTGAGCTGCAGCAACTGCCGAGAGCAGCAGCAGCAGCAGCAGCAGCCGCACGGATCTGAGCAGCAGCAACGACACCAGCAGCTGCTGCAAGGGTTTTCGGGTGTATAGGGAGGTCGTTTGCATGCAAATTCTTTTCTGCCTTTAAATATAAAGGATAAAATAACTTTTTAAAGGGGCGTTCTCCTCTTAGCTCCTGCTGCTGGTGCTGCTCTAGCTGCTGCTGCTGCTGCTGCAGGTGCTGCTGCTTTGCTAGGCGGGCCCTGAGTGCACGTTGCATACAGCAGCAGCAGCAATAGCAGCAACAGCAGTAGCAGCAGCAGCAGCAGGCATCTAGTGGTGTCTTTGAGCCCGAAGGCCCCCAACGCCCTCCTCTTACAGCTGCTGCTGTCATTTGCTTCTGCTGCTGCTGCTTGCTGTTGCTGCTTGCCATAGAGCAATAGACTACACTTACAGCAGCAATGTCCGACGTTAAAGGTGAGCCCAGATCCCTTACCACCACTATATGCAGCAGCAGCAGCAGCAGACGTAGCAGCAGCAGCAGACGTAGCAGCAGCAGCAGACGTAGCAGCAGCAGTAGTAGTAGTAGTAGTAGCAGTAGCAGTAGCAGTAGCAGCAGCAGCAGCAGCAAGATGCATGCATGCATTTAGTGTTGCTGTTGCTGCAGGGTCGGCTATTAATGCGCTGGTGCGGGGGACTCCGCTAGCTGCTGCTGCTGCTGCAGCAGAGCAGCGCAACAGCAGCAGCAGCAGCAGCAGCAGTAAAAGTGGTGGAAAAAAGAGCCACCACCATCATAAGAAGCGTCGCCGCAGCAGCAAGCACAGTCGTCACCATAGTAGCAGCAGCAGCAGCAGCAGCAGCAGCAGCAGCAGCAGCGAGGACGAGCAACAAGAAGAATTACCTTTCTTTATGATGGATGCAACTATTCGTGCTGCTGTTGCAGAGAGGAAGAAGCAGCAAAAGCAGCAAAAGAAGCAGCAAAAGAAGCAGCAAAAAGCAGCAAAAAGAGCAGCAAAAAAAGAAGCAAAAAGAATAAAAAAATTAGAGAAAAAAAGAAAAAAAGAAGAAGCAGCTAATAATAATAATAATAATAATAATAGCAGCAGCAGCAGCAGCAGCAAAAAAAGGAAGAGAGAAAAGGATAGCAGCAGCAGCAGCAGCAGCAGCGATGAAGAGACCCACTCCCCACGCCCACATAAAAAGAAGGTACTCTTACCCTGCTGCTGTTGCTGCTGCTGCTGTTGCTGTTGCTACTGCTGCTGTTGGCGTTGTTGCTGCTGCTGCTGCTGTTGGTGCTGCTGCTCTGGCTGCTGCTGCTGCTGCTGCTGCTGCTGCAAAGAGCACTGTGTATTTGTGCAGTACTGGGCTTGCAGGCGTGACAGAATAGGTGTGGCGGCAGCAGCAGCAACAGCAGCAGCAACAGCAGCAGCAGCAGCAGCAGCGTAAGGATTTCTAGTACTATGAATACAACAACAGCAGCAGCACAGCAGAATTATTAATGACAAGAAGAGTTCGTCCCGCCATGGCCGCCACCTACGCAGCAGCAGCAGCTGCTGCTGCTGCTTTTGCTGCTGTTGCTGCAACAGGAGCAGCAGCAGCAGCAGCGGGAGAGTTCTCTCGTTGCAGCAGTTTGCGTTGCTGCTGCTGCTCCAACGGTCAGCAGCAACACCTACGTTACCACAGCTCGATAAGCTAGCTAGCTAGCTAGCTAGCTAACTAGCTAGCTAGCTAGCTAGCTAGTGGGCCCTATAGCTAGCTAGCTAGCTAGCTGGCTAGCTAGCTAGCTTGCCTCCATTAGGGTAAGGAGCTAGCGGTGCTCTTTGCATGTTGTATCTGCTCAGCTAGCTAGCTAGCTAGCTAGCCAGCTATTTGGCTAGCTAGCTAGCTAGCTAGCTATTTGGCTAGCTAGCTAGCTAGCTATCTAGATATTTGGCGAGCTTATTGGCGGACTAGGCAGCTAGCTAGCTGGCTAGCTAGCTAGCTAGCTAGCCAGCTAGCTAGCTGACTATTTCATTAGCTGTTTGTTTAGCTAGCTAGCTATTTAGCTAGCTAGCTAGCTTGTTAGCAAGCTAGCTAGCTAGCTAGCTAGCTAGCTGCATGAGGGCCTTCGGGGGCCAAGAGGGTGCCCGATGTTTGCATCTTCTCTACCCCTTGCAGATCTGCTGCTGCTGCTGCAGCTGCTTCTGTTGCAGCTGCTGCTGCTCCTGCTGCTGCTGCAGTTGTCATGGCTGCTGCACAGACGCCGCAAGTATTTTTGATGCGTGTGTCGAGGAAAAGCAGCAGCAGCAACTGCTGCAGTTGCTGCTGCTGCTGCTGCTGCAGCAGCAGTAGCAGCAAAGGCATCGCTGTTAAGTTCCTAGGGAAGTCCAGCTGTAGCTGCAGTTGTACCTGTGCTGCTGCTGCTGCTGCTGCTGCAGCAGCAGCAGCAGCGCAGAAGGAAACGAGTAATTTACCTGTCTAGACTGTTCTCTGCCCCGGCACACGCCTGGCTGCTGCTGCAACTGCTGCAGCAGCAGCTTTTGCTGCTTTTGCTGCTGCTGCTGCTGCTGCTTATAGCCAGCAGACAGCTCCATATGCCCTGCTGCAGTAGTTGGTTTGCCGCTGCATGCGTTTAGCACAGCAGAGGAGAGAGACAGGAAAAGATATGTAGAACAGCTGCTGCTGCTGCAGTAGCAGCAGCAACAGCAGCAGCAACAGCAGCAGCAGCAACAGCAGCAGCAGCAGCAGCAGCAGCAGCTGTGGCGATGTGTTAGAGGCTGTTGTTTTGTTTGTGTGGGGACTAATATTATGAATAATATAAATTTATATATTTATTTATTTATTTATAAATAAATAAATAAATAAATAATTTATATTAATTAATTAATTAATTAATTAATTAATTAATTAATTGAGACAATTAGGTAGAAATATAAAAAGAGTAGTAGAGGGAGAGAATACTAAGCAGAAAATATGCAAATAAAATAAATAAATAAATAAATAAATAAATAAATAAATAAATAAAATAAATAAAATAAATAAATAAAATAAATAAAAAAGAAAAGAAAAAAGAAAAAAAGAAAAAGAAGAAAGAGAAAAAAAGTGTGCGTAGCATTTTCCTGTTGACGGTCAATAAAAAGGAGAAAATAAATTATTTTATTTATTCATTTATTTTATTTATTTATTTATTTATTTATTTTTTTCTTCTTTTTTTTATTTTAGGTGTATAGGCGGGTCTTTTTTTTTTTAATTTATTTTTTCCTTTTTATTCAGGTGTATAGGCATCTTTTTTTTATTTATTTTTTTTTTTTTATTCAGGTGTATAGGCAACTATTTTGTCTCTTTTTATGTATTTGTTTGTTTTATTACTAAACTATAAGTTTATTTATTTATATAATTATATAACTATTTATTTATTTATATTTATATTTATATTTATATATATATTTATTATATATAATTATTAACTATTTATTTATTTATCTATTTATATTACCTATATAGATAATAAATATAATTAATAATAATATAAATAATATAAATAATATATAAACAGTATATATTATATTATCTATATAATAAAATATAAATATA